CCCCAAAACCCCAAAACCCCAAAACCCCAAAACCCCATTTTCGAACTTATCAATAGAATAAAAATAAAATATATTTAACTCATCTATTCATGTACGGGAAGAAGTTGAAGAAGAGCAAGGCAGGGGTGGCCAACCAGCATTTCTTGAATAAGTTCTATAATGCAGATAAAGTCACACAGTTTGGTGTTACTCTGTGTAAAGAAATGGGCATTGACCCAGCTACAATGGCCATCAAAGGTCTCAAACATTTCTTTAAGCATGGCATCACTGAGGACGTCGTTAAGATGAATTACATCAGGTATGAGGAACGTAGGAAATTGAAGTTACTCATGATCGAGGAGTTTGATTCACAAAAATAGCAACCTTGGAGGTGACACTGGAGCTTACCATGACCATAACAGCTTTCTAAGAGCTCGAAAGTAAGCAAAAGGGGGTAATTATAGGATGAGTAAATCTCAAAATCGAGTAAACAGTGGAAATTTGGCTAAGAATCCAGTAAAAAGAGTCAGAAAAATGTCTGAAATCAGTATTAATCCACTCTAACTCATAGGTGCTATTAGTAAAGATGTAACTTCCCAGAATATGGGGAATAATGAGATACAAATTATCGATGAAATCCCTGGAAAGTCAAGGTTCAGCAACAAGAATACTAGATCTTTTGATTTACACAGCAAGTTCTCCCCACAAAGAGATTATCTTTCTGTTAAAAACTTAGGAGGTATTTTCTTATTAACCACCTGTAGATCCTGACTTGAGACTCAAGAAGGAAGAAGCAAGACTCCAACGACTGGAAAGAGTCAAGAAAAATCAAGAAGAAATAGTCAAAACTCAAGCTACCAAGATAGCCCAGATGATGATGAAAAATCTCGAAAAGCAGAAAAGAAAGAGCAGAGATCTCCAAGACCAGAAGAAAATAACTACTGAAAAAATCCTCAGTCTCCAAGGTATTTCTCTGATTATTAATTTATAGAGAAAAAGGACAATATCGCTAGAAAAAGAAGACTCCAAGGTATATCCCATTCAATAATCCCCTCTAGAAATCCAAGAAGAAGGAAAAAGATATGACAAGTATAAATAGAGACATGAGAGAGGTCACGAAACGTCTCAAAATGAAAGAAGAGGACAACCTCCGAAAGAATATTGAGGACTACAACTCTTATGAAAACAAGAGGAGGGCTCACAGTACATTTAGATTGTCTAGGACTTATACTGACAAGCTAGACTCTAACTCTAACAAGGTTAATTTAAGCACTAAAAAGCAAAGATTGACTTCAAATTCACACTATCATTCCAGAAGCATGAATGAATACCAAGAAATTGAAGAGACCAAAGAGCAGCTCAGAAAACTAGACAAGAAAATACAGCAAAGTCAAGAGAATAGGCAAAAGATTCTACAAGAGAAAGTTGCCCCTGTCAAAGACCACTTAAATAGAATAACAAAAGCATTAGAAATAGTGCATTCCTCCGAACATGACCAGCTAAGCAAATAAGCTCCTGAAATACTCTAAGAAGGACAAAATGGTAAATGAAGCTAGAAAGAGGAAGAAGAACATCAGTCAGCACCACTATAATGAAAAAGAGCAAGAGCTCTCTAAAGGTAAGAAGAATGGTCATCCCTCTAGCATTCTATGAAAACCGTCAAAGACTTGAAACTGAAGAAAGAGAAAAGATCAACTCTTTGAATAAATTAATGCGGAAATAAAATGAAGTCTGTTGATCTAGCCAAGCAGAGAATTGAAGAAGAGTCTAAGCAAAAGGCTCAACTTAGACAACAAAAAGAATCCCAGGTTCAAGATTCTGCTAAGAAGGAGAAAACACGGATCAAGATGGGTGCAATGAGGATCATCAGTAATTTTTGGGTAATTATTCTTTAGCCAAGCATTTGAAACCAAATCCTAAACAGTACCAAGCTGATGTCATGAAGCAGGTTAACGATATCATTATAAGAAATGATATGAAGCACAGAGAGAATATGGTCCATCAGTCAGGAAATTACGTAGATGCCTATGTAAACTCTATCAAAAGTAAGGATATATATTTATACCTCACTTTAGAATCCAGAAGAACCCAGAGCAACAGTAACAAGTTCACAAAGTATGGCAATGAGTTTGGGATCCTTGAAGTCCTTCCAGATGTCAGGAAGAAGTCTAAAGAAGATGAGGTCTAATATTTCAACAGTGAGAATAGCAAAGGGGTTTTGGGGTTTTGGGGTTTTGGGG